AGGGAGAGGAGGCGGTGGGGGGTGGGGGCTAAGACTCAGGGGTGCCCCAAATTTTCGGGTGCCCCTCGCAGCTGCCACGGCTGCAGAGGAGGAAAACGCAGCGCTGGGATCTAAACATTCATCAGCAGGGCCGGCTGCTCTCCGCAGCACAGACAGGGCCTGGGGGAAGCGGGGTGGCTGCAGATCCAAATGATTATGTCATAAAGGTCTCAAATATTAAGTTATTCAATAAAGTCACAAAGGCTATGTCTACACTACAAGGTTTCTGTGCAAAACCAGCAGTTTTTGCGCAAAAACCAGCAGAACGCCCAGACCTCAAGCACATGCACAGCTCCCCACAAGGAATAACTCCTTTTTGTGCTACAGCTCTTGCGCAAAAAGGCAGGTGTGGACGCTCCGGAGGGGTTTGCCGGGTTGTCTTCAAGTCCTCATCGTCAAGTCCAGGATGAGTCTCGAGTCCCTAAAGTCACTTTCGAGTCCAGTCCCAAGCCCAGGGCCGGCGTTAGGAAGTGTGGGGCCTAATTCCGACCACATTTTGGTTGACCAAAAAAAAAAAACCCAAACAAACAAAACCCCAATCAGCCCAGCACACACAGAAACAACTCACACCCCCTTTAAATCCTAGAATCACAGAGCACTAGGACTGGAAGGGACCTCGAGAGTCAGCGAGTCCAGTCCCCTGCCCTCATGGCAGGACCAAGCCCTGTCTAGACCAGCCCTGATAGACGTTTATCTAACCTGCTCTTCAATATCTCCAGAGATGGGGATTCCACAACCTCCCTGGGCAATTTATTCCAGTGTTTCACCACCCTGACAGGTAGGAAGTTTTTCCTAATGTCCAACCTAAACCTCCCTTGCTGCAGTTTAAGCCCCTTGCTGCTTGTTCTATCCCCAGAGGCCAAGATGAACAAGTTTTCTCCCTTCTCCTTGTGACACCCTTTTAGATACCTGAAAACTGCTTCATGTCCCCCCTCAATCTTCTCTTTTCTAAACCCAACAAACCCAATTCCTTCAGCCTTCCCTCCTAGCTCCTGTTCTCTAAACCTTTCATCATTCTCGTTGCTCTTCTCTGGACCCTCTCCAATTTCTCCACATCTTTCTTGAAATGTGGCGCCCAGAACTGGACACAGTACTCCAACTGATGCCTAACCAGCACAGAGCAGAGCGGAAGAATGACTTCTCCTGTCTTGTTCACAACACTCCTGTTAATGCAGCCCAGAATCATGTTTGCTTTTTTTGCAACAGCATCACACTGCTGACTCCTATTCAGCTTGTGGTCCCCTCTGACCCCTAGATCCCTTTCTGCCGTACTCCTTCCCAGACAGTCGCTTCCTATTCTGTGTGTGTGAAACTGATTGTTCCTTCCCAAGTGGAGCTCTTTGCATTTGTCCTTATTCAACTTCATCCTGTTTCCCGCTGACCATTTCTCCAATTCGTCCAGATCAGTTTGAATTCTGACCCTATCCCCAGCTACGGGGCAGAGTCCCGCCTTCCAGCCAAACCCACAGGCCGACGCCCCCTCCTGCAGTGCACCCGGCACGCTTCCGGGTTTAGGGCACGGGGCCCGATTCGGGGGAATTGGGCGAATCGGCCTAAAGCCGGCTCCGCCCAAGTCGAGTCTCAAGTCTTAATTTAAAAATGTCAAGTCACTTTTGTACAAGCCGTCGATATCGGCATTGTCAGACAAGCTTTTCACCAAGTCGATTTAACAACATTAGCAAGTCTCAAGTCGAGTCTCAAGTCGAGTCTCAAGTCGAGTCTCAAGTCGAGCCACCTCGGCGACTTCAGTCGGACTTGAGTTCAAGTCGTGGGACTCGAGTAAACAACTCTGGGTTCTGGAGCAAGAAACCCCCCTGGGAAAAAGCCCAGGTGCCCCGCCGGCCAGTCTGTGATCGGCCACCAGAGCTTTCTTGCGCAGGAGCGGCCGTGCAGCGTGGACACTCTTGCACAGAAGCACAAGGCCTTTGCGATGCGCTTTGAGGCGTGGCCGCGTTTGCGCAGGATCTCTTCCGCAGGAGGCGTCTGGCACAGAAACCCTTCCGCGTGGCCGTAGGAGTGGGAATGCACAGAACGGGCAGGTCTCTCGGACAGTCCCATTTTGCAGCCCGCCGCCCCCGGCCTTACCTTGGCTGGGCAGCTTGGCATTGCAGAGTTTTCCACGAGGACGCGGGCTGTGAACGTCACCACCGCAACGAAGCCGCGGGGAGCGTGGCCTCGGTGCGCCGGTCTCGTCGCAGGGCTCCCCGGATGTAACGGCACGAGAGCAAACCTCCGACATTCACGCCCTGCCCGAAGCGTCGAAGCCACCGCGCCCACCGCCCTGCGCTCCCACCCAACGCCCCGGGAACGGCGGCACGCCCTCCCCTGCTCTCCAGGCCTCTGCCCCCAGCTCTGCTGCTGTGCACCCGGGCGCCAGCGAGGGGAGGCCTCCGGGAACGCTCCCTTCCTTCCCCAGCTGCTCAGAGGCCTCGCTCCCAAACCACAGCCCACAGAATAATCTCAGTAGCCACCCGGCTCGCCTCCTGTTCTACGCACCCTCCCTCACTCCCTGGGCCGGAGACCCCCCAGAAAGCGGCACTGGCCACCCAACGCCTGCAGCCGCTGAAGCGAGGGGCCTGAGTCTCGCCCGATCGCCGCCTGTCTAGAGCACAGAGCCCGGACTCACGTCGGCGTGGGCCCGAGAGCCCCGGCCCTCTCCAGCTCTCGTTTATAACCGGCGCCGTGTCTGGCACGTTGGTCTCTCGTTTTCAGCTGGGGCCCTCTGAGACCAATTAGGGGACCAGCTCCCAGCGCGTCGCCAGGAGAACTCCTGGCTGCGTCTTTCTGCCGAAACTTTTGGGAAAGGGCCAGGGGATGTCTGGCTGCTTCGCGCCCCAGGGGAGAAGCCAACAGGGTCCGTGTCTCTGTTTCCCAGCGCTCTCGTTTCCGCGCCACGGCAGGGAATGGCTACAGACTTGTTTGGCTTTGGGGGCCTCCCAGTAGGACGGAGGAGAAAGCCATGGCGGGAAGAGGAAGAGGGTTACAAGGAGGGTCAGGCCCAGGGGGTGAGATCGGCTGCCGTGGTGCGAGCCATTGGACGTGGTCGATTAAAACGATGTCAGCCCAAGAACTCACCTCATCGTCAGGCCGGGGGAGCCGAGTGCAGGGCGTGCGAGTCCACTCTTGGAGGCGGGACCGGTGGAACCTCTTAACACCGTGCGGGACCGGTGGAACCTCTCCAGTCCGGCAGCACCCGTGGTCCAGCAGGACTGGCGTTTGCCGGAGTCCACTTCTCATGGGGGTGCCCAAAGTTCATGACGCAGTCCGGGCTCTCAGTGCTCTGTCCGGGTCTTTGGCTCAAACTTGCCCCACATGTCCCCTAAGAGCTCAGCACACAGCGGACATGCTGGGAACGCTGCTAGACAACATGGACCTCCCATGGTGCAGAAAACTCGGAAACGGGCGGGGCCCAAGGGTGCTGGATGAGAGAGGTTCAACCTGGCAGGGCAACTAGAACGGGATTGAGAGCGAGACGGCTCAGGACAATGAATGAGCCCAGGGAGCGGTCTCGCACGGCCATAGAGCGTCTCCCCTCCAGCTACCTCCACTCTCTCTCCGCTGCCGGATGAGCCACATCCGCTCGGATTTCATTAGCACGGATGGCAGAGTCCCGTTTCCGTGTGGCTGCCTGCCTGCCTGCCTGCCTGCCTGCCCTCCTTTCCTTCCCTCCTCCTTCTTCCCAAGCCAGTGGTAGCTCCCAAACCCTTATGCCCTAAGACCCTAGGAAAAGTTCAGAAACTTCAGGGGGGAGCCGAGTTAGTCATAGAACATAAGAACAGCTGTAGTGGGTCAGACCAAAGGTCCATCTAGCCCAGTATCCTGTCTGCCGACAGTGGCCAGCACCAGGTGCCCCGGAGAGGGTGGACCGAAGACAATGATCAAGCGATTTGTCTCCTGCCATCCCCCTCCAGCCTCTGACAAACAGAGGCCAAGGACACCATTTTATCCCCTGGCTAATAGCCTTTTATGGACCTAACCTCCATGAAATTATCTAGCTTCTCTTTAAACTCTATTATAGTCCTAGCCTTCACAGCCTCCTCTGGCAAGGAGTTCCACAGGTTGACTACACGCTGTGTGAAGAACTTTCTTTTATTAGTTTTAAACCTGCTACCCATTAATTTCATTTGGTGTCCTCTAGTTCTTCTATTATGGGAACTAATAAATAACTTTTCTTTATCAGCCCTCTCCACACCACTCATGATTTGTTATAGTCTTGGCCTTCACAACATCCTCTGGCAAGGAGTTCCAGAGGTGAACTCTGTGAAGAAATTTTTCCTTTTGTTTATTTTAAAGCTGTTGTCTATTGAATTCATTTGGTGACGTCCTAGATGTTGTGTTACAGGAAAGAGTAAATAGCACCTCTTTATTCACGTTCTCCACGCCAGTCATGACTTTATAGACCTCTATCCTATCCCCCTTAGTCATCTCTTTTCTAATATTAAAACCCAGTCTTACTAATCTCTCTTCATATAACAGGTGTTCTCTCCCCCTAATCATTTTTGTTGCTCTTTTCTGAACCTTTTCCAATTCCAAGATGTATTTTGAGATGAGGCGACCACATCTGTACACAGTGTTCAAGCTGTGGACATACCATGGTTTTATATAGAGGCTATAAGATGTTCTCTGTCTTATTCTCTATCCCTTTTTTAATGATTCCTAACATTGTGTTTGCTCTTTTGACTGCTGCAGCACATTGAGTGGATATTTTCAGGACTATCTTAAAGAGTTTAGTTTCATCTGCAAACTTTACCACCTCACTGCTTACCCCTTTCTCCAGATCATATATGAATAAGTTGAACAGGACTGGTCCCAGGACTGACCCTTAGGGGACACCACTAGTTACCCCTCTCCATTCTGAAAATTTACCATTTATTCCTACCCTTTGTTTCCTGTCTTTTAACCAGTTCTCAGTCCATGAAAGGACCTTCCCTCCTATCCCATGACAATGTAATTTATGCAAGAGTGTAATTTAGTCGGTACAGGATAGACTTAAAAAACAACAAAAGGTCTTGGAGCACTTTAACGACTAACAAAACGTGTCGATGAGATCATGATCTTTTGTGGGCACGGCCCACTTCTTCAGATGATCGGAGTGTTGAGTTTAGGATGTGCAGACCCAAAATAAATAGGGTAGAAGGGAGGGGCGGGGGAGGAAAAAGGAAGGGGGGCGGGAAACGAGGCGCAGAGGGCATGGAGATATCAAAGGGAAAACAGGAAGGCGGAACTGGGAATCAGCGAGCACCTGAAGATTGGGCGGTTAAAAGGAAGCAGATAGCGCCCTTCCGAAACTGTCCTTTAATTGTCACCGCGCTCCCTGCTGGGTTTATTTTACACGGTAGCCACCAGAGGGCAGCCCAGGATAAGGGAGAACCAGGCAACTTCTGGTTTTGCTTGAGTCTCTGAAGGCCTCATTTCCATCAAAAGCGAAAGTGTGGGACAGCGCCAGCCCACGCAATGAACCTCCTTAGCATCCGCATGGCCATTGGCAGGCACCGTCCCCCTCCTCCTTTTTCTGCTCCTGTGTTTTCCACTCCAATTCATCCGAGGAAGTGGGCTTTGCCCACGAAAGCTCATAGTACGATATATTTGTATTAGTTGGTGCCACAGGACCGCTCGGTGGTTTTCACTGTACAGAGTAAGACGGACAGGGACAGCCCTCGGAGACTTTTTAAAACATGTGTTGGTTAGCTTTGTTCCAAACAGACACAGAAAAAGGAGGGGGGAAGCGGGGGCAGATTTTAAAGCTGTCGAGATGCTGAACAAGGCTGACAGGTACCCCAGGGGACTGCCTGTTTATTCCAAAAATACAACAGCAAAGCATTAAAAGGAAAAAAGCTACAACGCTATTTGACTCCTACAAACACACCACTTCATTCTGCTGAGTTTGGGACCAGCCTTATTCTTGCTTTTTCACACTTTCCTGTGACTACTGGACATTTTTCTCCCTTTGAAAAATCAAATAATTTTTCAAAGATGAGGTTTGGGGGCGTCAAACTCATTTTTAAATTAAGAGAAACAGAACCACCTTGTTAAAGGGACAAAGTAATAACATGAAAAATAGAGAAAAAATGAACTCAGAACCTAGAGAAGAGAGAGGGAAACAAACAAAACATTAAAGAAAAGAAAAGAGGAATTTAAAATTGGCTTCTTGATTAACACACAGAAGTTTCCATGAAAAGCCTGCGGGCTCTTTGGAAATTTCTCTCATTTTTCAAAATACCAAAAGTTAGAGACCGGAACAATGCTGGCCAACGTTTCCGATTTGCGTTGAAAACTTGCGCTTTTTCGTTTGTTTTCATTGACATTTTTCTACAGGGGAATAAAAACATCCCACCCGTTTCTAACCCATTCTGGCGGGAATAGAACTTTCCCGGAAAAGGAGCCACACCCGCGTTCGGCAGCAGGGACTGGCCGCTCTTCTCTTGTGTGGATCCAAGCAGGCCTGGAGTTTGCCCCGGCTCTTCCATGAACCGATTCAGAGATTCAGCACGGGCCCAAGAAGCTGCCACTTGCCTTCCTAGTTTGCCGCAGTTGTTATGTCACCCTCACCTCTCATACGTTGTGGGTCATTTCTAGCTGAAGTGTGGCTGGCTTTAGCGGCCTAGCCTGGCTCTGGTTACACCTTTCCCTGCTAGATTCAGGTCTCCTTCGGTCCCTGGCTGGTTTCTTTCCACCAGATCATCTCTCAATCTTACTTGTGATCTAGCAAACGGAAGGAATCCCTTAAATCCCTCCTTTGCAGACTGGTTTTCAAACACTTGGTTATTCCAGTCTGGGGTGTTCCCAGAATTCCCGGAACTCCTCTGCTCTCACAGAAATGAGCCAGACTGTAACATGGGAAGAGGCGTGGCGTGCAGAGGAATAGCAGCGGGCGCTGAAGTAGGAAAAGGATGCTCTTATGTTCATGACAAGGTATTTTAAGTGGAGTCACAAGGAGGCAGCCTAGGGTAACAAAGAACCAGGCAGGATTTTTTTCTGATTCTTTTCTCCCCATCACCCTTTTGTAGACGTCGCAGGCTTGTTTCAACAGATTCGTGACAGGAGGGATGGAGGGTAAAGTAGGATCAGATTTTTAAAAGGCGTTTAGGGCTGTAAAGATGCAGACACATACCTCCAGGGATTACCTGTTCATGCCAAAAATGAAATAGAAAAGCATAAAAAGCAGTGGTTGGAAAAGTGATTAAACAGCTTTTAGCTCTTACAACAGACACCCGCAATCGGTGGAGTTTTAAAACGATTTGATTTTTTTGCTTTTGAAAAACTTTCCTGTAAATACGCCACATTTTCCTTCGTTTGAAAAGCAATTTGTTTTCAAAGATGAAATTTGAAGTGTCAAAAAACCCTTCAGACCTTCTTTTCTTTAATTTAAAAAAAATCTGACCATGTTGTTAAAATGGCCTATTCAATTGACAACATAAGAAAAAGAAAGCAGAAATAAAACTGAAAACGGAAATTAAAAATGCAAAGGAAAAAAGGAACAAAGCAAATGAAAAATGAAATTAAAAGAAGAAAAAGCAATCAGTGCGACCAAGCAACGAAAATGCAAGAAACGAAAAGCCCCACAATTCACAGACCCAGAACGCCATTTACATGAACAAGGAAAGCCCTTTTGAAAAATACTGAAACCAGCCCAGGAAAATAGTCAACAACATCCACGCGAAATACGCAATCGAAAAGATCGTTTTAAAAAAAAGGAAACCGATTGAATTTGCCGCAGAGGCTCTGTGCTGGGTTAGCCTGGAACTTCAACCCTCCAAAAATGAGGTTTCCAGGATCGGTGGAAAAGGCGTTATTTTCGATAGCTCTGCGTCTAGATGGACTTTTTTTTAAAAAACGCCATTTCGAAAAAAGTGGCGGCCATGTTTATGCTAATGAGGTGTGGGATATTTACATCCCGGCTTCATTAGCAGTTTCGACTGGCCTAATCTAAGTCTCTGTCGACAGAGGTGTCGTCTAGACACATGGCTCATGTAACCACTAGACATCACTCCCCTCCCAGATTCAGAGAGAACCCAGGAGCCCTGGCGCCCCGTCTCCTCCACCCCTGCTCTAACCACTAGGCCCTTTCCCCACCCGTGGGCACAGAGGGTAT